CTAGCAACGACTTGATTCTGTGACGTTACTTGGTGACACGTTTTAAAAGCGTCGATATAATTTTGAATTTAGTCGCTCATCAATGACGATTATGTTTTATTATGTTTTATTATGCTCTAGATGACTAACGAATACTTCAACCATATACGTAATTTTGACTCCAAAGAATTGCTACGTCATTAAATTACATATGGTGTATTCAGCGTATTGGTCATGTGAGCGTTCTTATTGAAACTTGGTATACCTTAAACGCAAAATGCCACCAAAATTTTTCTAGGTTATCCATAAAGAGCCAATGTCTAGCTATTAGGACGATGTTTACCAAATATTTTTTAAGGACAAAAACAGGTGTCGCAATGCTCTCACTCGCTCAGTAATTCATATTTTTCGCAATGAGATTCCTGCGCCTGATACCAATTGTCTACTGACTGGTAGTCAGTTCCTCAATGTCTCTGATATAGACTGACTCAATGTTGTCCAAATGTGCGGTATATATTTCTGAAATTTATCAAAGTGTCTTTCACATTGTGACACCTACATGTGTCAAATTTGAGGGCGGTGTAATTGGTGTTATTTTGAATAGACATGAGTTTCGATAACAACCAATAAATGCATATCAGAAAATTATTCTGCCGCACATCCTCATGGTATTAATGCGTCTAAAACTGATAAGAACTGAATACTAATACGTTTCTACGTTTATATGCGAAATATGAAATATTAGGAATATTGAATTTAGGTTCATGAAACTAAAAATACTCCACGTTGACAGAACGGAAATATACAGTAACTTCACATTGAACAAATGGAAACTAAACTTGTACATTTCTTCGCTCCTCCCAAGAACTTCTATTGGTGCTCAACGTAATTACCAGAAAACACGAAATAATGCGATCATGGTTTAATGGAGTTTCAGATGTGTGGTGGCGAGCTACCTACCTACGTCATTGTGCAAAATATTACACCATAATGTAGATGACGTTCAAAAGATTAATAATGAGAATTGGGCTGGAAAATTACTTCGTAGGCAAATACATCTCAGTCAAGTACCCCACTATAACTTGACAGCTCAATCAACTTGTATTTCAGTGCGCCTCTTTGGCAATACTAACTATATTTTCTTCAGTGCATTGTCCAATGAAATCCATCGTTATAGCTGTATCACAGACAAAACATACGTATCTACAGGAGAAGCTAAGCTTAGATTGAGCGAACATTATACAATCAGTTAATTAGTACCGGAGGGCTGAAAATCTTAATAGTTAGATCAGTTCCATCATAAAAAATTTCATATTTTTACCATAATACTATACTATAGGAAAA